GCTGAGGCAGGAAGATCGACTGAGCCCAGGAATTCAAGGACAGCCGACACAACATAGCAAAACCCCCATCTTTTTAAAAAAAAAAAAAAAAAAAGGCTGGGCATGGTGGCTCACTATAATCCAGCACTTTGGGAGGCAGAGGCCAATGGATCATCACAAGGTCGGGAGATAGAGACCACCCTGGCTAACACAGTGAAACCTCATCTCAACTAAAAATACAAAAACTTGGGCCGGGCGCGGTGGCTCACGCCTGTAATCCCAGCACTTTGGGAGGCCGAGGCGGGTGGATCACGAGGTCAAGAGATCGAGACCATCCTGGTCAACATGGTGAAACCCCGTCTCTACCAAAAATACAAAAAATTAGCTGGGCATGGTGGCACGTACCTGTAATCCCAGCTACTCAGGAGGCTGAGGCAGGAGAATTGCCTGAACCCGGGAGGCGGAGGTTGCGGTGAGCCGAGATCGCGCCATTGCACTCCAGCCTGGGTAACAAGAGCGAAACTCTGTCTTAAAAAAAATAAATAAATAAAAATAAAAATAAAAAAAAAAAAATAAATAAATACAAAAACTTAAGCCAGGCGTGGTGGCACGTGCCTGTAGTCCCAGGTAATCGGAAGGCTGAAGCAATAGAATCGCTTGAACCCGGGAGGTGGAAGTTGCAGTGAGCTGAGATCAAGCCACTGCACTCAAGCCTGGGCAACAGAGACTCCGTCTCAAAAAAAAAAAGGCCATGAGGAGTGTTTCATTCCTGCAACCTCAGCATTTTGGGAGGCCAAGGCAGGAAGAACACTTGAAGCCAAAAGTTCAAGACCAGCCTAGCCACCAAAGCAGGACTCCATTTCTACAAAAAAAAATTTTTTTTAATTAGCCAGGTGTGGTGGCGTGTGCCTGTAACCGCAGGAGGCTGAGGCAAGAGGATTGCTTGAGTCCAGGAGTTGAAGGCTATAGTGAGCTATGATTGTACTGCAATCCAATCTGGGTGACAAGAGTGAGACTTTAAAATAAATAAATAGGTTCTTCCTTTTCGATCCGCCATCTGCGCCTCAGGTGGGGCCGCCACCAAAATGCAGATTTTCGTGAAAACCCTTACGGGGAAGACCATCACCCTCGAGGTTGAACCCTCAGATACGATAGAAAATGTAAAGGCCAAGATCCAGGATAAGGAAGGAATTCCTCCTGATCAGCAAAGACTGATCTTTGCTGGCAAGCAACTGGAAGATGGACGTACTTTGTCTGACTACAACATTCAGAAGGAGTCTACTCTTCATCTTGTGTTGAGACTTCGTGGTGGTGCTAAGAAAAGGAAGAAGAAGTCTTACACCACTCCCAAGAAGAATAAGCACAAGAGAAAGAAGGTTAAGCTGGCTGTTCTGAAATATTATAAGGTGGATGAGAATGGCAAAATTAGTCGCCTTCGTCGAGAGTGCCCTTCTGATGAATGTGGTGCTGGAGTGTTTATGGCAAGCCACTTTGACAGACATTATTGTGGCAAGTGTTGTCTGACTTACTGCTTCAACAAACCAGAAGACAAGTAACTGAGTTAATAAAAGACATGAACTAACAAAAAAAAAAAATAAATAAATAAATAAATAAATAAAAGTTAAAAGTTCCCACATAAACCAACAATCCCATTTCTAGGTCTATACCTAAGAGAAATAAAAACAAATGCCCACACATAAATTACTACATAAATGTTCACAGCAGATTATTTATAATAAGCAAAAAGTAGAAACAACCCAAATGTCTATCAACAGATGAATGCTAAAAAATGTGGTAGATAGAGATATGATGGCATATTATTCACCAATGAAAGGAAAAAAGGCAACAAGCACAGGAAAAGACGCTGAACTCATTAGTCATTAGAAAAATGCAAATCAAAACCACAAAGATATATCACACTTGACACCCAACTAGGAGGGCCTAATCAGAAAAACAGGAAATAGTGCATGTTTATGAGTATGAAGATGCATTTGAACCCTCATACATCACTGGTGGGAATGTAAATTGATACAACCATGGTGGAAAAGTTTCACGGTTCAGTAAGTTAAATTCGGAATTAACTGTGTATGACCCAGCAATTCCACTCCCAGGTAAAAAACTGAAATCAGGTGTTCAAACAAAAACTTGTATGCTGGCCAAGCATGGTGGCTCAAACCTGTAATCTCAGTACTTTGGGAGGTCGAGGCAGATGGATCATGAGGTCAGGAGTTTGAGACCAGCCTGGCCAACATAGTGAAACCCCGTTTCTACTAAAATACAAAAATTTAGCTGGGTGTAGTGGCAGGCGCTTGTAATCCCAGCTACTCGGGAGGCTGAGGCAAAAGAATTGCTTGAACCCGGGAGTCAGAGGTTGCAATGAGCCAAGACAGCAACACTGTACTCCAGCTTGGGTAACAGTGTAATATTCCATCTCAAAAACAAAACGCAACAAAAATTAGTGGGGCAATGCAGCGGGAGCCTGTAATCGCAGCTACTCGGGAGGCTGAGGTAGGAGAACTGCTTGAACCCAGGAGACAGAGGTTGCAGTGAGCGGAAATTGTGCCACTGCACTCCAGCCTGGGCAACAGAGTGAGACCTTGTCTCAAAAAAAATAAAAATAAAAATAAAAGGCCAGTGCTGTGGCTCACGCCTGTAATCCAAGCACTTTGGAGGCCAAGGCGGGCGGATCACCTGAGGTCGGGAGTTCAAGACCAGCCTGACCAACGTGGTGAAACCCTGTCTTTAATTTAAAAAAAAAAAAAAAAAAAAAAAGATAGTTATAGTTGGCCAGGCACAGTGGCTCAGGCCTGTAATCTCAGCACTTTGGGAGGCCAAGGCGGGCGGATCACCTGAGGTCAGGCATTTGAGACCAGCCTGACCAACATGGAGAAACCCCCATCTCTACTAAACATACACAATTAGCTAGGCGTGGTGGCACATGCCTGTAATCCCAGCTATTTGGGAGGCTGAGCCAGGAGAACTGCTTGAACCTGGGAGATGGAGATGGAGATGGAGGTTGTGATTGCGCCACTGCCCTCCAGCCTGGGCAACAAGAGCAAAACTCCATCTCAAAAAATAAATAAATAATAGTTACATTTTTATGTATTTCTGCACTAAAATATCAAGGATAATTTTCTTTAAATCAACAAAGCACTAAATTTTCTTTTCTTTTTTTTCATTTTGAGATGAAGTCTTGCTCGTCTTGCTTAGGCTGGAGTACAATGGCGCCATCTTGGCTCACCACAACCTCCGCCTCCCAGGTTCAAGTGATTCTCCTGCCTCAGACTCCTGAGTAGCTGGGATTACAGGCACCCGCCCCCCATGCCCAGCTAATTTTTTGTATTTTTAGTAGAGACAGGGTTTTAATATGTTGGTCAGGCTAGTCTCAAACTCCTGACCTCAGGCGATCCACCTTCCTCGACCTCTCAAATTGCGGGGTTACAGGCGTGAGCCACTGTTCCCGGCCTAAGTTTTCTTTTTTAAAAAAATATTGTATTTATGGCTGGGCACTGTGGCTCATGCCTGTAACCCCAACACTTTGGGAGGCAGAGACAGGCGGATCACTTGAGGCCAGGAGTTCAAGACCAGCCTGGCCAACATGGTGAATCCCGTCTCTAACAAAACCACAAAAAAATCAGCTGACCGGCCAGGCGCGCGGTGGCTCAGCTTGTAATCCAAGCACTTTGGAGGCCAAGACGGGCGGATCACCTGAGGTCGGGAGTTCAAGACCAGCCTGACCAACGTGGTGAAACCCCGTCTTTAAAAGAAAAAAAAAAAAAAAATCAGCTGAGCATGATGGCGCATGCCTGCAATCCCAGCTACAAGGGAGGCTTAAGTGGGAAGATCTCTTGAGCCTGGAAAGTGGAGGCTACAGTGAGCTGAGTGCCACTGCACTCCAGTCTGGGGCACAGAGTGAGACCTGGTCTCAAAAACCACCAGAAATATTAACAGTTTACATTATCTGGTTAGTCTATAACCTAATTACGTTGAAAAATTGCCTGAAGCTTGATTATTTCTATTATACACAGACTTCAGCCATTCCTGAACTTACTGTTGAAGTCAGAGGTACACTCCTTGTGTGACAGATACCCAGAGCTTGGACGTTTGCTTTACAGAAGCTCCCTAACTTACTTCACTTCTCAGACTAGACTTTAGCTCCAAAGCCAGAGACCATGACTTCCATTCCTTCTGGATTCCCCCGGCAGAATTTCCTAAATGCCTGAACTCCAGAAAGCATTTCCTAAATGCCTGCCGAAACACGGATACTGAGCATGCCCGGCTTGGCCAAGTCCATTCAACAACATTCTGAAACAAACACTCTATAGTTCCCGCGTTACAAGGTGGAAGAACGGGAAGAAACGGGAGCAAAGCCTAAGGAATCAATCTCCAAGAGGGGGCTCAGGAAAGGCAAGGTTCAAGGGTGGGGCGCACGTGAAGGGCAGCACTTTCACAGCTCAAACTTGGCACTCAGTAAAGTGGTGTCGAACCAGAACGACCAAAGAAGGCTAAAAAAAGAAAAATACTAGATTAACGAGTGAGGGAAGGTCAACAAGGTTGCAGGGTATCGATGACGTAGGCTTGACCACAGTTTTTCCTAAAGCTGCCCGCTCCAAAAATAATACTAAGATGATCAGGCCTTCGGTGTCAACACCAACAAGATACCCTGTGATGAGGCTCACTTCCTAGAAGTTCCTTTTTACAAACGAAAGAGCCATGCTGTGGCCAAGACACCCCAACCATCAACGCTTACTAAGCTAAGCTCTCGGTTCCTGCCTTCATCTCCACCGCCATCTTCTGGATGGGAACCCAAAACCCTTCCTAAAGGGCTTTCGCCAGCATCACCTCCGCGCAAAGCCCAGGAAAGCTGCGTTGCCCTGGTCGCGCGGACAGCGCAAAGGGGGAAACTCCACCTTGCTCGGTTCCGCGCCTTCCAAACGCACGCAAAGGGCTGCCGTCTTCCTTCCCCGCACCCCACCCAGGCTTTCCAGGGTCCGGCGCGAGGCGCGAGGCGCGGGCCTCACCTGCACACGCCGCGAATGCATGGCTCCAGCCAGATGCGGTAGGCGGTCTCGATGTGCTCCTGCGACACCTCCTCGGGCCGCACCGTCTCCGCCCAGCGCCAGGCCGCCTTCTCCAGCTGCAGCCGCGGGGCCATGGCCTTGGCCCCAGGAACGCCTCCTGAGCCAGGCCGCCGCTGCCGCCGTCTGCACGGCCGCCCCAATGGGCTCCGCCACCTGCCAGCGAGGAGGACCGGGCGCTCCCTCAGGCAACTGGCCAGTCAATCACCTGTGCACGCCACTGCCGCCGCGCCCGACCCGCACGACCGGCCGCAAAGCGCCGACGCCGACACCCGACACCCCCAGCACCCGCGGACGTTAAAGGTGGACTCCCCGCCGCGCTGGGCGCATGCGTGTTCCCAGCACCCTCTGCGCCGCCCGCGCCTTTAACCCGACGGGCTGAGGAAGAGGAAGCGTCAGTCTGAGACAGTCCTGCCACGTACCCACTGGGGCTGTTGGGAAAGCAGCGTCTCAGCCCCCGTTTAGGGCAGCGCCCTGCGTACCACTACTCTAGCAAACCCGAGTCTCGAAAGCGATTTTTGTCTTCGGTACTTCCCTTCTAACCATGAAGTTTTCACCCGAAAGGCTACTCAACGCACACCATAGGCCCGCCCAGACTGCGGGGCGGGACCTGTTTAGGGTAGGAACCGAGTCGCCAAAAAAGACAGGATCGGTTCTTTAGAAGAAGATTTAACTTGAGCCTGGACCGGTTCCGACCCCCTTTCCCGAGCCCTCCTGACGTCACGGGACGTTCCGGCCTTTGCCTGAACTAGAATGGGACTACGTGTCCCGGCATGCCCTGCGTCCTGCCACTCACTGTGAGGCATGCTGGGATTTGTAGTCTTGGAGGTGAGAAGGCTCGGTGCGCCGCAGACTGTGCGGGCGGGGTCCGCGGTGCCAGGGTGGAGTTTCTCTGATGAGCAGGGTCATGCTGGCTGTTGACTCCCTTCTCAAAACTCTTTTTTTTTTGAGACCGAGTTTCGCTCTTGTTACCCAGGCTGGAGTGCAATGGCGCGATCTCGGCTCACCGCAACCTCCACCTCCTGGGTTCAGGCAATTCTCCTGCCTCAGCCTCCTAAGTAGCTGGGATTACAGGCACACGCCACCATGCCCAGCTAATTTTTTGTATTTTTAGTGGAGACGGGGGTTTCACCATGTTGTCCAGGATGGTCTCAACCTCGTGATCCACCCGCCTCGGCCATCCAAAGTGCTGGGATTACAGGTTTGAGCCACCGCGCCCGGCCAAAACTCTTATCTCTATGCCGGATTTTCTAGTTCCTCTCTAGCTCAGGGTTTAAAAACATTTGCTTTCTGCGACTCCTGCCCCAGGACATGAAGAGTAGCTTTATGAGATTGTTGTGCAAACTCTAAAGAACTCTATTAAAGTCAGGATATTTAAGAATTTTGCATTTGAATTAGAGCCCTGCCAGAATCTAAGTGCTAATTTCTGATTTAACTGCTTGCCCTCTGGAAAACCTGAGGCTGAATTCTTTAGATAAATATTCACTGAAGGCAGGAAGAAAATAAGATGTGGGCCCTGCCCTTGGAGGTGGTTAAGGGAGTGAGCGGTAGAAAAGCTAAAATCGGGCCGGGCGCGGTGGCTCAAGCCTGTAATCCCAGCACTTTGGGAGGCCGAGGTGAGTGGATCACGATGTCAAGAGGTCGAGATCATCTTGGTCAACATGGTGAAACCCCGTCTCTACTAAAAATACAAAAAATCAGCTGGGCACGGTGGCGCGTGCCTGTAGTCCCAGCTACTCAGGAGGCTGAGGCAGGAGAATTGCCTGAACCCAGGAGGCGGAGGTTGCGGTGAGCCGAGATTGCGCCATTGCACTCCAGCCTGGGTAACAAGAGTGAAACTCCGTCTCAAAAAAAAAAAAAAAAAAAAAAAAAAAATTAGCGGGGCGCGGTGGTGCACGCCTGTAATCCCAGCTACTCGGGAGGCTGAGGTCGGAGAATCGCTTGAACCCGGAGGCCGAGGTTGCAGTGAGCCGAGATCACGCTGCTGCACTCCAGCCTGGGCGTCAGAGCGAGACTCCGTCAAAAGAAAGAAAGGAAGGAAGGGAAAGAAAAAAGGAAGGAGAGTAATATAAAAGAAAAAGGAAGGAAGAGAAAAGAAAGAAGAAGGAAGCCGGGCGCGGTGGCTCAAGCCTGTACTCCCAGCACTTTGGGAGGCTGAGGCGGGTGGATCACGAGGTCAAGAGATCGAGACCATCCTGGTCAACATGGTGAAACCCCGTCTCTACTAAAAATACAAAAAATTAGCTGGGCATGGTGGCACGTGCCTGTAATCCCAGCTACTCGGGAGGCTGAGGCAGGAGAATTGCTTGAACCCAGGAGGCGGAGGTTGCGGTGAGCCGAGATCGCGCCATTGCACTCCAGCCTGGGTAACAAGAGCGAAACTCGGTCTCAAAAAAAAAAAAAAAAAAAAGAAGAGAGAAGTTTAGCGTGAAAGGGTCACAGCTTCTGAGACAGGGAAAGGTGAGACTCAGGCCTTGAAAGGAAGACCTTGCCTTTATTCAAGGGACCCACTGACGATTTAAAGCTGTTGAGTGCTGTAACGGAGATTTGCATTCTGTTCTCTTTTTCTTTTCTCTTTTTTTTTTTTCTTCTAACATTCTTGGAGTGTAAAAGCTAGAGCGGACATCCCTGGGTGGGCTTGAACCACCAACCTTTCGGTTAACAGCCGAACGCACGATTGCACCACAGAGACACCTGCATTTTGTACAGTGAGCCAAAGAAGACCTTTTTTTTTTTTTTTAAAGAGACATTGTTTAGACTGTTGCAGTAATACAGGCCCAAGAAAATGAAGCCCTGAACTGAGGCAGTGTAGCAGGTATGATACGGAATTGTTACTGGAAAGGGGTCCCCATCCAGACCCCAGGAGAGGATTCTTGGATCTCGTTCAAGAAAGAATTCAAGGGCTGGGCACGGTGGCTTATGCCTGTAATCCCAGCACTTTTGGAGGCCGAGGTGGGTGGATCACCTGAGGTCAGGAGTTTGAGACCAGCCTGGCCAACATGGCGAAACCCCATCTCTACTAAATGTACAAAAATTAGCTGAGCGTGGTGAGGTGCACCATTAGTCCCAGCTACTCAGGAGGCTGAGGTGGGAGAATCGCTTGAACCCAGGAGGCAGAGGTTGCAAGTGAGGTTGCAGTGAGCCAAGATCACGGCACTGCACTCCAGCCTGGGTTACAGAGGGAGACTCTGCCTCAAAAAAAAAAAAAAAAAAAAAAAGGAAAGAAAACCAAGGTTAGTCGTGTTGGCTGAGGTCTGAAAGGGTTAGGCTTGTGAGAGGATCAACATGCCTTTGGCTAGAGTTCTACTCCATCCTTCCTTGGAAGAGGAAAAGAAAAAACACAAAAAGAAACGCCTGCCGGGCGCGGTGGCTCACGCCTGTAATCCCAGCACTTTGGGAGGCCGAGGCGGGTGGATCACGAGGTCGATGGAGACCATCCTGGTCAACAAGGTGAAACCCCGTCTCTACTAAAAATACAAAAAATTAGCTGGGCATGGTGGTGTGTGCCTGTAATCCCAGCTACTCAGGAGGCTGAGGCAGGAGAATTGCCTGAACCCAGGAGGTGGAGGTTGCGTTAAGCCGAGATCGCGCCATTGCACTCCAGCCTGGGTAACAAGAGCGAAACTCTGTCTCAAAAAAAGAAAAAGAAAAGAAAAAACAAAATCTATGTAGAGTGCAATCACTGTTCTGTTACCATTATCACTGTGGTCTCACCTGGATTATTGCAAAAGCTTCCTAACTGATGTAAACCAAAAATAAAATTCAAAGGTGTCCCAACCCCTGGAATGGACTCCCTCCTCAGTCAGGGTACTCAAAGGTTAACCTGGAAGACTGGTTCAGGCCTTGACAGGAAGTGGGGGTCAGACATGCCTCATTATGCCCTCCTTCCTTTTGGAGTTCAGGAAAAATTACCAGCATGTACCATCAACACAGACCTTAAGTCTATAAGAAACATTTATGATCTATTTTCTTTGAAGCCTGCTACCTGGAGGCTTCATCTGCATGATAAAACTTTGGTCTCCACAACTTCTTATAACTCAGACTTCTTATAACTCTTATAATTCCTATAAACTTCTTATAACTCTTATAATTCCTTTCTATTGATAATAACTCAACCAGTTGCCAATCAGAAACATTTAAAGTTTCTCTATAACCTGGAAGCACCCCCTGCACCCTCCCTCACTTCTACATCTCTGTCTTTCTGGACTTTTTTTTTTTTTTTTTTTTGAGATGGAGTTTCGCTCTTGTTGCCCAGGCTAGTGTGCAATGGTGCAATCTTGGCTCACTGTAACCTCCGCCTCCTGGGTTCAAGCCATTCTCCTGCCTCAACCTCCCAAGTGGCTGGGGCTACAGGCATGTGCCACCATGCCGAGTAAGTTTGTATTTTTACTAGAGAGGAGGTTTCACCATGTTGGGCAGGCTGGTCTTAAACTCCTAACCTTGTGATCCGCCCGCCTTGGCCTCCCAAAGTGCTGGGATTACAGGTGTGAGCCACAGTGCCTGGCCCCTACCAATGTATATCTTAAACGTATTTGATTGATGTCACATATCTCCCTAAAAATGTATAAAACCAAGCCGCACCCCGACCACCTTGGCTATATGTCCTCAGGAACTCCTGAGGACTATGTCACAGGGTGTAGTCACTCATACGTGGCTCAGAATAAACCCCTTCAAATATTTTACAGAGTTTGGCTTTTTTTGTCAATACTGGTCTTCCTGTCTTCCCCCTTGCCTGGCTTACAAAGTCTGTTCTGGGCATGTAAATCATGTCATTCCTGAAAAACCACCCAAGATTTCCTATCTCATTTAGAATAAATTACAAAGGACTGAGCTCAGTGGCTCATGGCTGTAATCTCAGCCTTTTGGGAGGCCGAGGCTAGAGGATTGCTTGCTTGAGGCCAAGAGTCTGAGCAACATGGTAAGACCCTGTCTCTACAAAAAAAAAAAAAAAAAAATTGCCAGGTATGATTGTGTGTGCCTGTGGTCCCAGCTATTCTGAAGGCTGAGGTGCTACCACAGGAACACACTACAAAAAAAAAAAAAAAAAAAAAAAATTATAAAAACTACCCAGGTGAGGTGTGTGTGCCTATAGTCCTAGATACTCAGAAGCCTGAGGCAGGAGGATTGCTTGAGCCTAAACATGGAGAAACCCCATGAGAAGTTTGAGGCTGCAGTGAGCAATGGTTGTACCACTGCACTCCAATGGTACAGTGGGGCAACAGAGAAAGATCCAATCTCTCTCTCTTTTTTTTAATTATTAGAGATAGGGTTTCACCATGTTGGTCAGGAGGCTGGTCTCAAACTCCTGACC